AAGGCTGGGGGCTACTCTGGACTGCCCTCTTTGATTTCAGTGATGTTGGGGTGAGACTGTCAGGGTGATTGTCAGGGTGATTGTCAGGGTGACTGTCAGGGTGACTGTCAGGGTGAGACTATCAGGGTGAGACTATCAGGGTGATTGTCAGGGTGACTGTCAGGGTGATTGTCAGGGTCCCCCCACCCCAGCCTGGCTGGCTTTGGAGGCAGGCAGGGAGCTCTCAGGCTGTGCAGGCCAGGTCAGCAGGCTGTGAGGTGCCTTGGCTGACTCACTCCCTCCCTCACTGGGGGGTCTGTGTCTCTTCCAGGACTGTGGCTTGCAGCTCAATGACGAGGAGGGCCATCGCTGTTACCCCTTGGAGGGCCACCTGCTCTGCCACAGCTGTCACATCAGGCGCCTTAACATCAAACTGCCGTCACATCCACCTCCCAGCTACCCCATGCACGTCACAGAGCTCTGAGACATTGCCAGGCTCAACTGAAAGAGAAGACAAGTATCTAAAAGTGACTTTCGCGTTCCTTTAAAGATGAGATTCCAGTAATAACCACCTAAACCAGCTATTTATTTTTTGAATCAGAGGTGAAGGGTCCTTTTCTGATCTTGTACATATGCATTCTTTTATCTAGACGTTTTCACTGAGACACCATCTACTTGAACAAATAATTCACCACTAAACTGTAACTGTAAATGGCAGCATTCCTAAAACTATGGTACAAAGGGCTGTTCTGCACTCCCTACTCACTTCCTTCAGTGATTTCACCCGAGTGAGGAGTGGAGAATTACTTTCCAAAAGTTAGCACCTTATCATATTGCAACAGGCATGATAAGATAAATGCTAGCATTTTAGCTAGTTTTGGTGAATTCTGGTCTTAGAGAATACTTGGACTGCCAGCAGTAGTGGGGAGGAGGCAGGGGGGTGTTTGTAGCCAGGACAGGTTTCAGCACAGTTAAGGAACAGCATCCTGTGAGGCCAGTTCTCCATCCCACATCCTCCCACAGTCACCCAAAGACTAATTATTGGGCTTGTTCAAGGAATATGGCAAGCACTTCACGTAAAACCATGTTGGAGAGGATTATCTCCAAAAGGTGGGCACGTGCAGGGTTAGCAGTGGCAGGGTGGTACAGCCCCTGGAACTGCTGCCTGGTGGGTACAAGGTAGCCGTGGTTTCAAAACTCACTCAATCAACTGGACCATCTGGCACTTAGGAAAGATTTCATCTGTCAAACCTGTTTGTTGTTTAATAGGGTTAGCTGCCCCTTTCTATGCAAAAGTACATTTGTCTTTATACTGCTTGTTTTATACAAGACTTCATCTGTTACCAACTGCTTTCTGATTGTATGTTGAGACATCATTAAAGAAAGAGAGGGACAGTGGTTTTGTATTACCTTTTCAGCTTTGTGTTCTTCCTGGATTACTTTTGAACTGATTAGGGGGATTGTCTTCGTTGGAAAACAAAGTACAGTTTAACAGAAAGAAGAGTTTAGAGAGTCAGATCATTGAAACATTGGTATTTTCCAACAAGTATTAACTGTACATAGAATGTACACACTTCCATGTTTTGCATAAGCTTTTACAGTACCCTCGGAGCTCTGGGGGAAAATATATGTCTTCCATATAGGAAGTTAGATGAATCTTTTTTTATGGTTTGTTCTCTACCATGTGCTGATGATTTACATGCAAATCACACATCTGTATGTCTAAAAAATTCCTTGCATTCTCATGAGAATTGATCCAGCCTTCCTCAAGTTGCCATTTATCACTGCTGTCTTTAACTTAGTGTTCAAAACTGCAATAAAATAAAATTCTTCTGCTCCAGAGGAAGTGGAAATTCCAGAGCAAATTCTCAGCATGTGGAGATGGGGACGTTTCCCTGGCAGTTGTGCCCACGCTGAGAGCCGGAGCGGCGCGTTGGGAAACGATGCCGCGTTCAGCTCCTCGGGCAGGCTGAGGAGATGACTTCTTTGGCAGCACCAGGGCAGTTCAGTTTCTTATGCTCCATTGACTTCTTGAAAGCCATTTGTGGTGCTCTTGAAAAAAGCACAAAGAGCATCCAGTGGACACTAATTCCTAAGTGGAATAATTAACTCCCTTAACAGAACTTTTTGATAGTCTGGAATTTTCTTATGGGGGAAGTGGAGGGGGGGGGGAAGCAGGAAAAATTCCTGAGAACTACTTTTGTCTGTAAGTAAGGAACAAAAGGTACACTTCCTGAACTTTTGCCAGCCTTCCATTGGCCTAGATTAACCTGTCCTCCCTGAATGCTCCTGGGCAAGTCAGATGCTCCTTTAAAAAGTCATTTTCTAGTTAATAGATACCAGTTTAGAATTAACATATTTAATGTGAGCACCAGGCTTTGGAGGGATTGCAGTGCAATCAGTGCCCCAGAGGCCTGGCCTGCAAACCAGAAGCCAGTGGGTACATGTGCACTTTGCATTTGCAAACACTCCCTCTGTGTCCACAGTCAGCAGCCCAGCCTCAGGAGTGGAATCAGGTGTGCCAGCAACTGCTAGAAAACAGGAAAAAATTGGTTTACACTGGGTGGGATGACTAGGTGAGTTCCTTAAGGTTATTACAAACATGGAAGACACCAGAGCTTCAGGATAAACTTTTAGCATCAGCTGCAAGGCTTCTTCCCTTGAAGGAGGCTGCCTTGGCCCTCATGCAGCCTCAGGCATTTTCACTTGCTTGTCTTTACAGCATAGACTAAGGAACCCAAAATAAGCAAAGAATCATTAAAATGCAGAGAGAAGGTTTGTGTCTGTTCCTGGGAGTAAATCATCCCACAGTAGTATTTGCTGGACTGGAAAAGTGCTTTGCTCTACCAGGAGAGAAGCAAACCCCCCAAGCTGACAGTGGCCAGAGCTGGAGGTGACTGACCCTGGCCCTTGGACCTCTCAGGATCTTGCCAAGCACTTCACCTCCTTCAGGGGCAAGTTTCAGTTTCCAAAATACTTTCCAAGGGACAGCAAACTTGACCGTGTACATACCAGACCTTTTCTTTTTTTTTTTTTTTTTTGAAAATGATCATCCTGTAAAACAGAATAATATTTAACTTTATTCCCCATGTTGATCTGTGAGCCTCTTGTAGTTCTCCACAGCTCTGGTCTGGTAAGCATCATCATGGTTCAAACACCAAAAGGTAATATTTCAGTACAAGCAATTTGTTTAAAACCAGAAAGCAGCAGTTGTTGTTCCAGTATATTTTCTATAGACAGATGCCTTCCATTGCTGTATTATGAAGTACAGCTTTGCTTTTCCAGCATTTACTATAAAAGCTGGGGCTTGAATGAAATTTGCCAGTTTGGCTTTTTGGTTTGATTTTTTTTTTTTTTTAAATCAAAGAGAAAAATAAAATCAAACCTAAAATAACGACGTGCTGTACTCTTCAGTGCTAGTGGCAGTTTCTGCACATTTTACCTCCTGCCTGGGAATTGTGTAGATGAGAAAGCTTCTTGTGGTGATTTTCTTACGGAGTATTCTTACCTTAAATCAGTTCAACGCAGATGCAAAACTCCCTGAGTTCATTTCATGACGTGATTGTTCTTCAGAAGCCTTTGCTGTACTCTCAGATGTTTCCATGAAGTTAAAACAGTAACAACCTGTTCTCATTTGCATCAGGCTACACCTTTTCCCCGTGGCTGGGGGATCTCCCCAAGCCCCTGCTGCTGTGGGGATGCAGAGTCCCGTTCCAAAGAAAGGACCAAAATAGTCCTTTGCAAACAAAACAAAAGAATGCACTCAGATAACTGACCTGACCGAGAGGGTTTGTTTGGCTTTCTTTCCTTTCCCTTTCACTTGTGTGCACGTGTGTATATATTTTGTAAGGTGGAGCTTCAAAAGGAAAACATGGTTAGAGGAGCTCTTTAAGACCAGAAATTCCAGAGTAGTAAAGTAAACCAAAGCTCTAAAGGAGACAAAAGCTGCTTTCTTGTGTTTCAAGAAAAGTTTAAAAGTTTGTGATTCATCCTGTAACTAATGCCGTAACTAGAGTATATAATTTGACTTAAATTAAGTTTTCATTTGAGAAATATTTTCATTTTCTTTAAAAGAATATAGTTTTCTTCCAAGAACTTGGACCAACGTTGATTTTTATTTTGTAGGAAATATATAAATTCCCAGTTTGTATATCATGTAACTAGTTTACATGCTGAAAATATACATTAGTTTAACTATTTTTGTATATATATATCCTTGTAAAACCTTTCAATGTGCTTCTGTCTTTTAGTCTTTAGAATTACTTGTGGTTTTGTGTTTCAGTGTTTGATTCCCTTGATTGTTGAAGAAAAAAAATTGGGAAATGTAGATTTATTTATCTAAAGAAGAAGCTACTTGCTATCATCTTAAGTTATTTAATATTGAAGTCAGAAGTTTCATTTAACCTTAGATGCTATAATCTGCTTTTTTTCAATAAAGACATTTTGTAGTTATCTTTGGTTTTGCAGTCTGTCGCGTGTGTAAGAATTTTAGTTTTTTAAATCTAGGTGGGCACTAAACAATTTCCAGGAGAGCCTGGTATTGCCCACAGAAATGCCTGGCTGATATTAATTGATTGCAGCTGCATTCATCAAAGATTTTGGTCCTCCAGTGCAAGTGTTACTAATTAAGGTCTAAAATATGCCCACAGCTAACGTTCTGCAGCTGCACTTGGAAAGGAATTTAGCCACTCTGGCAAGTTTTAATTAAGCTTTAACCAGTCTGGCTAGTTCACATGTAGGACAGTCAGCAGTGAGGGACATTTGCTTTCCAAGACTTACCATTACTTTTTGGAGTGTTCTGAAGAGACTTGCCTGGACTGGGAGCTCACACAGCTCTAAGCACTTGGACCTTGGACCGGGGAATTTTCTCCATGTTCTCGCTAAGTCACAGGAATTCAGAAACTGGAGCCAGAGCTCTGATGGGATCAGAGAGATGCATTTTTATGTATTTTACCTTTCTGAAGCTTTTTGTCGCTTCCTTGTCTCAGTTTCACGGCCCAGATGGAGCTTGGTCACGTTTCCTTCCTCACCCTGGTCCTGTTGGGCAGAATGTGCATCACTTCTGCTGTCTTGTCTCCAGCTGTGGCCTGGGGAAAGAGGACAACAACCAGTTTCTTCCTTGTTTCCACATATCCAGTGGCTTCCCTCTCCATTCAGCTGGTCAGCCTGCTCTCCCTGGGAATGTTCCTCCCTCCAGTGACTCACAGAAGTCAAATATTCACAAGCTGCTATTGCGGTGTGCTGCCACCCTCCCATCAGAGAGGCCTCCCCAGCTCTGCCACCCTGGCTTGGCAGAGCCCAGATGACTTCACGGCTGGAAATAAAACTTAACTGGAGGTTTTCCCACAACGGCTATTTTGGCAAATTTCTTCTTTTGCACAGTCAGAATGGAAAGAGTTACAAATGCCACAATTGTTTGAGGGACATACAGTCTGCACTTTGGTGCTTTGAAACAGATGTACCACACTTCTGCAGGGCCTTCACATCCATGCTATTTTCTCTCTCATTATTTTGAAAAATTCATTCAAAATGAGCAATTCATGCCCTCCTTGAAGGAAGAAGGAAAAAAAAAAAAAGGCACAAAGACTGGCCAACTCAAAGCATTTTAACGGGGCCTTAGCACATGGTCGACACAAACGCACTCCATAAAAACCTAGGACGTCTTAATGCAGCAAGAATTTCTACCAACTCATAATCAGCCTGACTGGAAAGAACTTAAAATATATGAAGTGCCCCTTGTGGGCCTCCATGCAGGAAATCCATGCTGGAAAATGAGCATCCTTTCATGGCAGGAAGGGGGTGAGTCAGGCCCGTGCTGTGCTGGGATCCCTGGCGTGGCAGCCAAGCCACAGCCCGGGAGCTGTTGCACGACACGTGGTTGATGAATCTGGCGGGTAGATTTTTTTGGGGGAGGATTTTGCCAGCCCTGCTCTTCCACCTTACCAGCCATGCCCAGGGCTGCACCCCTCACCCTGCAGCTGTTGACTACTGCAGGGATTCAGGTGATCCCAGGGCTGATCCAGAGACATTTGGTCAGTTATGGAAACCACAAGGAGTATGTGAACTAGGCTGGTGAGGCGTCTTCAGCTCAAACCCCTGTTACTCAGCTTTTAGTCCCCACAGGGCAGAGACTCCTAGAATAAATGAGGTTGGATGAGAGGCCATTTGATGCAACACCCCACCATCAACACACACAGTCAAAGCAAAATATATGTGTGTATATAAAAATCATGGAGTTGTTTATGTTGGCAAAGACCTCTGAGATCATCAAGTCCAACCATTAATCCAGCACTGCCAGGGCCACCACTGAACCATGTCCCCCTGAGTGCCACATCTACACAGCTTTTAAAGCCCTCCAGGAATGATGACTCCAACACTGCCCAGGGCAGCTGTGCCAGGGCTGGACAACCCTTTCCATGAAGGTGTTTTTCCCAGTATCCAGCCTGCCCCTCCCCTGGCACAGCTGAGGCTGTTCCCTCTCCTGTCCCTGTTCCCTGGGAGCAGAGCTCGACCCCCCCGGCTCCCCCCTCCTGTCAGGGATTGCAGAGCCAGAAGGTCCCCCCTGAACTTCTTTTCTCCAGGCTGAGCCCCCCCAGCTCCCTCAGCTGCTGCTGCTGCTCCAGCCCCTTCCCAGCTCCGTTCCCTTCCCTGCACACGCTCCAGCCCTACACCTTGTGACCCTCACACTGTTACCCTCAGCCCATGGGTCCAGTGTGTCCACATCCCCCTGCAGAGCTTCCTGCCCTCCAGCAGATCAACACTCCCACCCAACCTGATGTCATCACTGAATTTAGCTGAATTTGCTAAAACAAGGATCCCAGTTGGTGCTACAACCTCGTGCTTGGGGCAGCTTGCAGATAGGAAACTTTGAAGGAGGAACTACTAAGCAAGGTCTGGAAATAGTGAGAAGAGCTTGACATTGAGTAGGAGATACCAGTCTCCACTGGGTGTCTAAGCTGGACATGAAAATGTCACCCTCAAAACAGAGGGCATTGGGTTCTGGAATAAACTGCACGTCACCCCTCAGTCACCACCACTGGGCTTATGAGCAGCTGAATTAGGCACTTTAAAAGCTATGAGTTAACCACATTTTTTAGCAAAACTCAGAAGATAAAAAATATTTTCTTTCTGTTCCAAATTCGAGATCCTATCCTAGTGCTCAGTACAATTCCCACCATCTCTTAACACTGAGCAATCCCAAATCCCATGTTGTTTAAAACACATACTAAGAACTAGCTCATTTTGCACTACCTGCAGTGTAAGTAAGTAAGAAGCCATGAGGAGATCTGATAGTGAAGTGATAAAATAAGTATCTATCCAGCAACACATTTAAGAACAAATTCTTAAAGGTTTGAATCATGGCTGAAAAAAAAAATCCTCCCCCCCCATTTGTATGACGTGCCTGGGAATTCATCACCTCAAAGAACAAGGGCTGCATTGGTTGGTTACAGTAACTCAAGTGGTTAAGTGGGCTATCCAAAAAAAAGCATGTTCATTAAAAATTTGGCACATCTAGGCTATTGCAGGACTGTTAAAGCCAAGTGATCAGTTAATTACTCGCTAGTCTAGTGAGGGAAATGAAAGGCAGGGACGCCCCTCGGTGCTCCCAGCGCGGGGAGGGAGCGGTGCCATGAGCGGCTCCCGGTGCTGTGAGACCAGGGAGCTGTGCTGGCCCCGCCCCGGGGACACAGGACAGCAAAGGAAATCACTGCCAAGATGAGCCTTTTACCACCTCGGTCCTGCAGCTGAAAGCTCGGTGAGTCAAGTGCCCTGAGCTTGGCAGAGGGGAAATAAAGCAGCGGTAAATCCTGCTCTGTTCAGGTCATAGCGTGGCTCTGGTCCCACCTGAGCATCTTCACCTGAAGCTTCCAAAGCTCACACACTTTGTGTGATGATGGATACAGCAACAGAGCAGGGAAGAAAATTAAAAAGGCATGTGTGGATGGTGCAATGCCAGGGAGGGCAGCAAGACTTATCTTCAGCACCTGCAAGCCACATGTTTACTGCACTTACCTCCAACACTGGACATGGCTCCCCAAAAAATGTTTCCACAGAGCTTCTTTGATGAGGCAAAAAGAGGCCCCAGTGTCCTGCAGCAGGCACTCCTGACTGCCTTCCAAGAGGGTGGTGATGGCCCCTCCTCCACACCTGGCTGTGCCCGGGCTCACCTGGGAGTTGATCCTTTTTCTCACTTCTTTCTACACCAGAGACAACAGGAAAAAAAAGGATTACAGCTTTCTGCACCATTTACCTTTCCACTCCTTATCAGGGCATTTCCCAGCAAGGGGGGAGAGAAGATGGCACAGGCCCCTTGCCAGTGGCCACTGTCACACATGAACCCTTTTGGAAAAATTGCAAGTCTTGGGCCAACAAACATTACAGTCCCTTCAGACACATTCTACTGCCTCTAGTGATGTCTCATTATTTGGAATAGTTAATTTGCTACCTACATTCCTCATCCATAAAAGCTAAAACTGCAGTTTATTTGGCTCATTGTTCTTTTATCACCCCAATATACCTCAGTTAAGGGTAAAAATGAGACACGTGCAGCTGTGGTAAGATCTGCCTTTACTTGACTGTAAACATTATTTCATTCTCTATTTAAAAGAAAATATTTGCAGCAAAGATGTCTCTATGGAAGAGTCAATGAATGCCTCTGAAATAGAGCAGAAGCCCTTAAAAATTGTGCTGTTGCATCTTTCAAACAGAAAAGAAGATGGAGCAAAACAAAGTTTTCTTTACATGTTTCTTATTTTATTCTGCAACACACAGGAGAAAACCTGCTATACCAAAGGCTCTGGCAGCTGCCAGACAATGCTCTGATAAAACATACTGGATTTCATGGTGTAATTTAACTGAATTTATTTTTTTTTGCAAACATGAAATCTTTTCATTTGCTGCTGAGCCAAAGGATAGTATGAAGTTGGGCACCTACTGCACTGCAGTCAGTAATTTCCATATCACCCTTCCCAAGAACCTTATGGTTTTATTGGCACCTGAGGATCTCTTGCAGCAGGAATGTGCTTGCAGGCTTGGCAGGCACAGTCAGGGAGCACAAAGCAGGAGGTACCAAAGGCTGCTGTTTTCCTCCAGCTGCATCTTTAACTGCAGTTTTGTTTCTAAAGGTGCAGCCCAAAGAAAGCAGCAGCAGAGAGGATGCTGCAGAGGCTCAGCAGTGCTTCCACATGACCCAGGCCTGTGGAACGTGCCAGCTGCCAGCCCTGTGTGCAGGGAACAGCAAAGCTCTTGCTGTGGTGCATGAGCAGTCCCTGGGTGCTTCGTCCAAACGCTCGGCAGTTTTACTATCACCACATGTTGTCCTTTGTATCTGCTCGTGGAGGGGGCAAAGCCTTGTCCTTACAGCACCTCCCATCTCAAAAAAGCCCCAATCCCACATATATGAACTTACTGTCAGTACTACAGTCAGTACATACAACTAACAAATCCCCATGTAGAGGTGTAAGTGGGCTGGAGGGCTGTTGTGTGCACAGTTCTTTTAGAGTGGAGCAGCTCACATCAAATTCACTGCCACAGGGTTACAGAGCATTTCACGTTTCCCATTATTACTCTTTGGAGGCAGGTACCACTTGCATGTCCATAAGCACATTTCCTCTCACTATCTGACAGTACCTGAACCAAAATAAAGGTGGACAAAGGGTGGGACAGGCAGAGGTGACCCAGCCAGTGCCTGGTTTGAAGAGCAGATGGTCATTGCTCAGCCTCCTGCACGGTGCCAAGGGCACTGACTTTGAAGGACATGGGAATGTCACCAGAGGACCTTTTCCAGCAGAAATATCAAAGTTACTTCAAATCAGATACCCGTGAGGAGCATCCTCAGTCCTCCCCCGTGCTGCCTGGTGTGCCCAGCAGAGCCAGCTACCAAACAGGCACTAGGAAGGCAAGAACAGCACCTCTCCTCCTGGGATGGCTGATGGGAGCTGAGAAACCTCAGCAATCCCCCCACACAATCCCCCCACTCACTTGTGGAAGTGACCCCACAAGGCCTGACAAGCCCTGTGCTGGGTTCCTCACCTGGAGGAGATCAGGGATGGTTATCTGGGAGGCTGTGGAGGAGACCCTATTGCCCTGCCTCTTCTGTGAACTGCAATGAGCTCCACTGAGTTCCACCACAGCTATCTCAATTTTTTTTTTTTTTTTAGTAGTAGAAGCTTCTGGAAGTCGCTAAAAATAAGTTTGTTTGGGTTTTTTTAAACCTATTCCCAAACACATTTGAGCTGTCTTTCAGGATGGCACTTCCCCCTTGTCCCTACTTGACAACAGATTTGTCAGTCATTAAGAATGCTCTGCATGCCCAGAAATATCTCGGGTTCTTTTTCCCATAATCAAAAGCAAACAAATCCCGGAGCAGCCCTGGCAGGCCCCTTCCTGCCGGGCCGCTGCCCCCAGAGAGCCGTCAGGCTCGGCTGCTGCCCCGGGAGGGCGAGCACTGCAGTTTGCTTCCAGGGTAAAATTAGACACTGAAACATTCCCCCCCGTCCCTAACAAATCCCCCAGCTCCAGCCCAACTATTCCCCGTTAAACAAATTGCAGGCTGCTCATTCGGGGCTGTATGAGTGGTTTGGGCTGCACAAAGCAGCACAGCACTCCGGGTGTCCCCCCCTGCCCTCGCTGTCAGTGCCAGGGGGTGTTCCCCTCCCAGGCACGGCAGGTCCAGCCCAGCCCCCTGGGCTCAAGGGCTTGCTCCTACATGGCCCTTGGTGATTACAGAGGATTGGCATTTAGAAGGAACTCCAAAGTTATTTACCTCATTATCCTCCTTTAAATCCCTCCCTAATACCCCCATCTGCTGTTATGGCTAAAGGAGTTTTGCCAGGCAGAGCTGGTACCACGCCATGCCCACCACCTGTACCCATCTATCCCGCTGAAATTCGGACAGGGAGTTTCTGAGGGCAAAAAGCTGGTTTTAATTACAAGGAGGACAGTCTTGCAGTTCTACAAGTAAATACCAGCAAATCTTTCAGTATTGTCAAAATCTTCCTGGCCTAACCTCGTGGCAGTTCTGCTATAAGAAGAATCCCTATGTGTAGCACTGAAAGCTGCCCTAATTAAAAATGAAAACATAAAAACGTAAAAACATAAAAAAAATGTATTGCAGCCGTCCTTAGCAGTCCCGTTCCTGCCGTGGGTTGGTGTTGCTAAGTGCAAATTAAAGGGATTTCATAAGCAGTTTGCAATAATTTCCCCAATTAGTCTCTTGCTTTCTCTGTCCATTTTACATAACATTGGTGAGAAAATCGCTGGCCACTATCTAGAATTGTTGAGGAAAGCTTCTGGAATGCTTTGCATTCCTGGGATGGGGACCTTAGCAGAGCCCACTGTCTGCACTCCCAGCCTTGGGTCTGCAAGGTCAGATGAGTCACTGCAGCGTCTCCTTTTCACGTCTGATCAACTGTGCAAAATCCTGGGGACAAATACTCCTGCACATTACTCTTATGTCCTGGGGATCTTCATTCAAGAGCATTCAGAGAAAGCAAGCATGAAACAAGGCTGCAAAGTGACATCATTTAAGAATTTCAGCAGTTACAAAAAACATCTGGGGGCCTAACCCAGCCTTTTGCTACCCACATACAGTACCCAGCACAATGGAGACCTAATGTATTATTGTGCCCTAGACTCGGTGGTTTCACAAACAATTTAATTTTAGCAGACCTTGTAATTCCTTAGATGCCTCACCTTATGCATTTACAGCAGCTTTGAATGTCCCAAGAGCTTTAATCCTCAGTGAGGCCTCTTCTCTTAAAGCACATATCATCACACTGGATGTGCCACCATGAAAATGTACAGAAAATGTTCTGTGTCATCGTGGTTTTCAGTGTGGAGTTGCATGACCTACACTCCAGAGAGCCCTGGAAAAAAAAGGAAGATTACAGCAGCTCCGATCACTACAGAACCTTCCAAAGTGAAGCTCAAACACACAAAGGATCTCAGCTGTGAAAGGTTCTTTCACTGCTGTTCACTGCAAAGGAATAACTGAGCATGGCCAAACCCCTGCTGCATCAGCCTTTCTGCACGCAGGATCCATGAGCCACTGCACTGGGATTTGATATTCGTGTTTGAGCCAAAACCCAGTTCTTGTTGTTTGCTAATGAGAGGGCAGGGAATGGGCAGGGAGATGCACAGAGACTAAATCATGGCTGAGGAAAGAGCAAGGAGAGAAGACAGTGCTGTGAGGGGTGAGGAAAACAACAGCCTGCCTTTCATTTGGAGACCAATTGCTGCTCAGGGCTGGGCTTCATGAAAAAAAAACAGCTGAGGGTGGCTCCTGAGGGGGCTGCTGGCCTTGGCAAAGCCCAGGGGCACAGCCAGGTCTTAGGACAACTCTCCAAGCTTGGTTCATCAGCAGAGCTTGGCACATCAGGGCACCTGAGGAAACCAGGGACCCACCCACTGCCCTGTGAACCCTGGGGGAATGGACACCCTCCACCTGCCCCTCCTCATGTCTCATGGGGAGCACCCTGTGGCCTCCAAGTAACATGGGCATTGGAAGGATCAGGACAGATATTACACATGCAGACTCTCCCTTTAATGCTCACACCCAAGCCTCTAAGCAAAAAAGCAGCAGCAGCACCACCAGCCAGCTGCAGCAGTCACAGCCCCCTCACCAGGGTCACTTCTGTGCTGGGCTCCCTGCCCACCTCTGCCCCACGGACAGAAGGGTGTCTGCAGCCAGTGACAAGCTGATACAAATAAAATGCCTTCACTCCTTGCTTTCCTAACTTCAACTACATCATACTGAAGAAGAGGTGTGAAAACACAGAAGCCTTTCTTTCCACTGGAGAATGGCCCACTTCCCAGCTTTTGAAATGCTCGTGCACAGCACGCTGCAGAGTGCCACACAGCCACCTAGTGCTGGGAAAAAATCACCTCCCCACAGCTGTGACTGTCCTCTGCAGTCCCACAAGTGCATCTGAGACCAATGTCCAGCCAGGAGGAACAAAAGCCAAGTCTCTGCAAAAGTCATGAACGTGCATTTCCAGTTATGGGCAGCAGCGAGTCTGAGAACGAAATGGCCGATGGACTGCCCAGGAAATGTGCTTTCATCCTGATAAAGACAAGGAAAGACACCCCACAAAGATATCACTCTGGATTGTCCCAGGGCTGTTATCTTCCCTGCTGCTGGCTTAAGCAGATCTTACTCATTTTTAGGGGTTTCCAAGCTGCCCACCCCACTGTTGGCTCTCCCAGCTCTTACCCAACGTGTCGCTCTTTTCTCTTCCCAACAGGGAACTACCAAGATTTGCTTCACTCAAATCCATCTCATTCCCCAGCAGCTCCTTGCTGGCCTGTCCTCACACCTCATTGTGCCTGTAAAATGAAAGCAGAGGATGCTCCTTCCAAGTCACTTGTCCCTGCACTGCCCTCCTCCCGTGGTGGCACAGGCAGAGGAGCAGATCAGGGAACCAGTCTGCCTTTAAAACCATTCCAGCAATGGATGGCAGTTTGGAATATCCAGCTTGACTGGGTTTTTTTCCCCCTTAGAATCTGAAAACATGCTGCCATGCAGCTAGCTAACCAGGTCTTAGGGGGATATGGTTTCTTGTCCTCTTGCTCATAAGGGAAACTTGAAACAAATTAAAATTATACTGGCCTCGTCCTAAAGGTCAGCGTTGTGGGGAAAGATGACTTGTTCGGAATTCAGTCAGGAAGTTTAACACAAATAATCCAGCCTGAAGTTCTGTGAGAACAAGTCCCAGCCAACCAAAAAAAAAAAAGAAAAAAAAGAGTGCTGATAGAACTAATTTAAGTACTAAATCTCTCCTTTGCAAGCATTTTTTCCACTGATAAAGCCAGAGGCTTTTAAAGCAGCCATGTGAAAAATTATTTAGCTAGGTGTGAGAGAGATGTATGGTGGTACCTTCCCAGATAAACTCAGGCTTTTATCAGGAGACTTGAGCAGGAACAAGCAGGGGAAGGAACAAAATGTATTGTTGTGAATTGCTGGGAAGATGGACTGCACAGTAGAGAGTATCACAAATGCTTTTTGAAAAGCGTTAGGCTGCCTCAAACTATTTAAGCTATTTTAACAAATTGTTCCTGCCATGAAAAAGGGAGAAGAGCTGATAAAACCCAAAAGTTATTTGCAAATAACTAATTCTTTGTTAGTGATGAAATGCCTTGCAGTTGTACAGGTGCCTTCTGTATCTGTAAAGCAATGTTTGCCTCTCTGAGGCTACATCATGAACCACATTTGGAAGCATCCAGGACTTGCCCTGAAGTCTTTCTGGGCTGTCTCTATTCTATTCCCACCAGAAACAGGTACTAGAATTACTAAAAAAATAGTAGGTGCTCTATGTTCACATCACTGCCAGCCTTGAAAGGATGCCTTCAAACAGAATTAGTAAGCATTTGTGTTTTAGAGAATACATCTGTGTTTTATGTATGTAAATACTTCTGTTCGTGTGTTTCTTAATAAAGTCCACAGGGACACAGTGGGTCAGGAGATCCCTCCCAAAACTGTGGCAAGGAGAACATGAGCAGCTGACTCCTCCCAGATCTGTACCTGTGTGGTAGGGTCTGACTGAAGCCAGAGGGGCTATAAAAGCATCTGCATCCCAGGATCCACATTTTGTGTTTCTGGCTGACCAGAAGCTGTTACCAAGGACTGAGCCTTTCCGTGCCCTCCATCCTTTCAGAGCAGTCAGTTCCACCAGTAAGGGCTGCTCACGTTGCACTGGTGGTACCTGGGACCAGAGGAACTTTCAAACCTAAGGAGCTGCAATCTTCCAGTCTCATCACCCAGCGAGCCTGGAGTGGCCAGAGCGGCCAGTGACAAAACTGTCCTGCAGATAGAAACAGGCAGGGACAGACCATGTCATTCTGAGAAGAATTTCAGTGCATTTCCAGAGCTGCTGAGCTGGAATAATAATCCATTCACTTGGAAAATCCCATAGTAAGCTTTAAGTTCTGTTTCTGTACCTGAATCTAACACGACAATGGACAACCTTCCAAATATTAGTAATAAAAAAAGCCTTCGTGTTTTCTAGACAAACACTTGGATAATTTCGCAGAGCAGAGAGCTACTGTGGCCCACACATCACCAGTAAACACGTGCTGTATGAACACTGCACAGCGTTTTCAGCACAACTCACACTGCAGCCTTTCCGAAGCTGTCCGTGCTGTGTTACCTGCACAGCCAGCTCCCTCCCGTCCTGTCCTGCAGGATCGTGACTCGCTGCTGCCCTCTTTATTCCAGTGTCGGCTCCAGTGCAGGATAAACAGCAGTGCCAGGAATCCTTCTCCGCTCCGTGACTCACTCTCCATTACTCTACTATTTGTTCTGTCTTCTCAGCAAGAATAACTTGGAGAAAGTTACGCTTCACTCAGGAAAAGAAACATCCCCGTAGTCCGGGTTGGGGAAAACACAACAAAGAGCACAACTGACTCAGCCAGCGCTCCCTCCCGACAAGCAACAGGATGCTCTGCCACCCAAGGTGTTGAGATGAGCCCATTCACATGTGGCTGTTTCCTTTCGGCCCTAACGAAGCATCAGCAAATGGATAACAAATCTACAGCTTCTCTCTTTGTCTCTGGGAGGCAGGTGCAGCCTCAAGGAAAGGCTCACAAAATGGATGAGGATGTGACAGGTTTGTAAACTCCCAGGCAGCTATCTGGAGAAAGCTCCCTGCTGCCAAAAATGTGCGCTGGGGAACATCACTGAATGTCTTCTGTGTTTACTTTCATTCAGTTCCTCAGGAGAAAGGATCAGAAGGACATCAGAGAGATATTAAATGTTGCAGTGTTTAAATGAACGTGCCGGCACCAGCGCTCTGGCTCCAGCTGGTGAGCAGGGAGAGACACCTGCAAGTGCTCTCCCACAGCAACCGTGGTGTTTTCCAAGGAATTTAACAGTTATTTCAATGGGAAACCCCTCCCCCCCCCAACCCTCAATTTCCCAGACAAGGTTACATAATAAAGTATAACCACAAGCCATCCAGCTTTGCCTTGAGTGGGAGAAAGATTTTTAAAATGGCATTTGGATGGTTAATTCTCCTGTGCCATTGAATCTAATCCATGGTCAGCTTATTTTTTGGCAGTTGATTTCACTGGGTTTTTTTTTTTCTCTTTGACTCTTTTCTCAAACCAGCAAAAATTAAAAGATTCCTTTACGTGTCATTTTAATTGCTGAGCATTAAAGACAAATGTTCCTTTTGGCCAAACCCACAAAAGTTCCTACAACTCTGCTCTTCATTTGTAATTAAGAGTCAGCCAGTCTTTTAGTTGTTCTGTTTTGCGATTAAGTGTACAATGTAGACTTCATGTACAAGGAAAATGCACAAAGTAAGAAGCAGCAACACTAACCCAAAGAGTAAAAAATTCATCCCAAATCTTCATTTATGTGTGCAATGCCAGCAATGCCCTTTGGCACGACTGTAGCACAGCAGAGACCCCACTTTTATGCCCTGAAGAAAGAAAGGTTTTTCCCAACAAACCTGTTAAACTTCAGCCAAATTAAATAATGAGGAGGCCTGTATGTTTTCTTGTTCTTTGCCTGTGTATAACATCTGTGAAACAGAAAATTAAATGGCATGTTAACACTGGAAGACAAGGACAACAAACTCGATGCAGCAGAGTATTTTGGGTTTCCCTCAAAACCCTCTTTCTCCAAAACAGGATACCAGGTAGAGTCCTAAAGAATCAGCTTAATTTTAAACCAAAGAATCATGCCATAAGCAACCAGAACAACCACCCTTCCTGAGCACCAAACCCTGGCAATCATCTTCTGAGCAGCAGAGAGCTCAGAAGGGGATGGTGTTCAGAAACAGTGGCCTTGGAGTCTGCCATTCCCAACTCATTGCATCTCACAGTCCCACAGCACAGCACAGTGGTCT